TGAGCTACGGGTCATAAACTAGTACCTAAAAAACAAAGAAAACAAAACAAATCAGCAACTTAAACAGAAACTTAAACAAAATACAATAATTCGAAAGAAAACAATCCAAGAGATTAGCAAAGTTGCTAATCCCCGGCAACGGCGCCAAAATTTGATGCGAAATATATAAGCACACAAATTAAACCCTCTTTTATCAAATGTAGTAAAGTATGTAAGTAGGGATCGTTCTAGGCCGGGGATTAAGAGGGATTGCTAAACACTTGAAAACTGACTTAAACAAAAAATAAAATTAAAATTTAACACTAACTAGACTCAAAGAATGCAAAACTATACTTTAAAATACTTAAACAAACATAAAACTCAAAACAGCAACCTAATGACTCAAAACTACCTAAAAACCACTTTCTGGGCAGTTTTGAGAACCTAACAAGAACTTGGACGAAGTTGGATAAAAACTTGAATAAAAACACTTAGAAACACAAATCAAAACACTTTCTAACTAATCTAAGACTTCAAAATAAAGGGGGATTTGTTTTGGACGAAAATTGAAAACAAAACAGAAACTTTAAAACAAAACAGATTGTAAAACGTTTTTGGATGAAAAGGATGGATAAAAGGCTAGTTAGGAGGTTCTTCTCCACACATGACACACTTGCAAACAAAATGATTTTCAGTTGTTTCTTTTCAATAAATTATGAAACTCAACACCCCAAGTTAATTAGATACGCTTAAATTAACCTTCAAGTTCTCCTTAAGTTAATGAATTGGATGGAAAAGCGCATACAACAATTCAAAAGCATTCCTCAAAGGTTCCTTACGTGATGAGCACAATAAAGATACAATCAAGAATCATGAAGCACAATGAGAACTATAAGTGTTGACGAGGCATTCGTTACTATGATGAGCATGAAACTAGTGCCAAGAATTCATTCAACGCGATCGTTTTCAAGCGACCTTCACTACTTGTGATTATAAGATTGTAACTATTAGGTGAAACTCCCTCATAATCTAGCATCATATTCATGCATGAAAACTAAGCGTGCACTCTCAATCACACATACAGTTATCAATCAAGTAGATGAACGAATTGAATCCGCAACTTATGAAATAACAACTGAATGTAATCAAATCATATTGCAAGCATGTACATGGTTTCAAATCACCCCCCAACTAAGGGGGTTTAGTTCCTCATTCTTGCAATACAAAGATACATAAAATTAGACATTAAAATCAAAGGAAAGAAAACACCTAAAATGCTCCAACTTGGAAAGCAAGTGCATCAATGGATCTCCCTTCCTCCTTGTTGCGGCATGAAGCTTGTGGACAGATTTTTGGGTGGATTTATGGTGTAGAATGGATGGGGAATGATATGGAGGGGTTTAGGGTGAGTGTGGAAGAGTGTTTGATGGTTGGAAGGTGGTGGAAAAACTAGGCAAAGAGGGTGGAAGAAGGTGGAGTGGTTGTTATGTTTTCTAGGCACTAGAATGGTGTTTTTGGGGTGTTTTGCTTCCTAGGGTGTGTAAGGACGAATTTCTGTGATAAAATGATGAATATGGGGGATTGTTCTTTGGCCAAGGGGTGTAAACATGTATTTATAGGCCCCAAAAACCTTAGAAAATAAGGTTAGGTTAAGGATGAAATGCATGGCAATTTGTGTGTGTGGTGTGCAATGGTCCAAGGGTGAAAATGAAGTAATGATGCAAAGTGTGAAGGGTAAAATGGAGTGGTGTTGTAGCTAGGGAGCATGAATGATTGTGTACATTGCATAGAGATGGAAAGGGAGGTGAAATGTGTCAACAAATGGGTCAAAGGTGCAACAACATGTGTTGCACATGGCATTGGATTCCAAATGTGAATGATGGAGCATCAATTGGTGCATGTAATGGATGTAAAGGTTGTCTAAAATCTAATGGGTGAAGGGAACAAGAGGTATCAAGCAATTGAGTGAAATAATTAAATGAATTAAAGCATGAAATCAGAAATTATGTAGGGGACAAGAGTGATCAAGCATGGCATGGAATCCAAAGGGAATTCTATGTGGTTTGCATGGCAAGGAATGCAAGTTGGGGTGACAGATTTTTTGGGCTGTTTTCTTCATCTTTTGGACCATAATTCTTCATATTCTTGGCCTCTTTAGTTCTCAAATTCGTCCATCCACTTGGCCCATGCATTTGCTATCCATTCCAAGCCCGAAACATGCTCCAAAGGCCTCCAAAATGCATCTTCTTGCATACTTTGTACTTAGAGTCTTTCACTTTGCATGTGGGCTTCTTTGCATGTGTATGAGTTGTCATTATTTATCCTTGCAATTACACACACACACTTGCACACACATATGCCCAAAACGTCCATCCTCATGCATGCAATCCATTTGAGCCCAATATTGATCCAACATGCACCAAAATGCACTTTTCTTGCCAAGGTTGTTATTAAGACCTACAAACAAAAGAAAATGGCTTTAAACACTAAAATAACTAAAGAAACACAACGTAAACGCACAAGAACAAGCCAATTAAGTCGCATAAATATGCTCCTATCAGTATCCAGAAGTATACTCACTTGATCTTAATGTACTCTTTTCCCTACGATTAGGAGCATTTTTCCCACTGGGTTTTTGCTACCTAACTAGGTTTTAACGAGACACCCATCCTGGGCTGATCATACCCTTGAAAGCTCTTCTACTTGCGTCCAAAAGACGTATAGTTTTGAGTTAATGCAACTTCTCACTTTTCTCCTTAGACTATGGGTTTTTCTCCCACATTGGGTTTTACCATAGCGAGATTTTGTGAGTTTTACTTTTTATGCATTCTTCAGTTGATTTGAGACTCACATTTGCCCATTGTGCCGACGACTTCATCAACTATACTTACTTCATCAATGAAGACTTGATGCGCCATTTACTTGAGTATTTACACACTCAAGGAGGAGTGTTGCAGTCCTATTTAGAATAGGAATGTGATTGTGTAAATCCTAGGAAATATGGGAATGTATCTTATATTCCTATTAGGATTTGATTACCTATTAAATGTTGTAATCCTAAAGGGAAAGGTTTTACCCTTCCTACTACTATAAATAAAGGCACAATGGGGTGAGATATCACACACCTACAATTACACATCTCTCTATTCTTCTCTCTATTGCCGCACCCCCTCTCTCTCTAAGGCCTCCATAATTGTTCAGTAAATTATGCCTACAACAAATTATACATTTTTTTTAATTTTCAGTTTTTTGAGTTTTCAAAATTTGGTCATGTGTTTTACATTTTTTTAACTGAAAATTACCAAATAATATTTCAAGTTCAATTTTCAAAAATTAAAAATAATAGTGTCACCAAACTGTCCATATCATACTTTGAATTTACTTCATTAAAAAATAAAAAATAAAACTTCCAATTTACAAATATCAACCGCATTTCACTCATATTTTACTTCAACGTTTAACGATGTGAAGTGCATGGTCAACCAAGGAAGACAACAGCCGTACACGAGTCTTGATCCTCACTTAATTTTAGGAATATTTTAAGTGACATTACTCACATTAGAATGAGGATCCTCTCCGGATCCTCTTTATGAGGATCTCAGAGATTCTCCAATCATGTGTGTTCATCGTATATTGTGCGGTCAATTTTAGTCATATACTGTTTATATTCAATTTTAAATAAAACATTTACAAGGATTTATGACCTCACGATGTACAATGAACGGACGTGATTGGAGGACCTCTGGGATCCTGACAAAAAGAATTCAAAGAGGATCCTCATTCCTCATATTAGAGCTCTCGGAATCAAAAAGTCCACAAAACAACAAGAGCAAGTAGCGAAAAACGAAAATTATACATTTTTTTTTTCTTACACAGTCGTTTTAAATTATGTATATTATCTTCGTTTGAATTTTTAATCTGATAATTAAAAATGACAAATGGTGGATAGATCGTGAAAAAGAATCAGTTAAAAAAATTATTTAGGCCGCTACAACATAGGACAACTAGCCTCTCCGCACGCACAGCGTGCGAGAGGCATTTTTGCATCACGGGCGCTACGCGCCCCTAAAAGTGTATTGTGCTAGTTTTTTTTTTTTTTTTTCATTGTAGTTGTCAAAATATATTTAAATGTATTGTGCAAAGAGGAATTTTTTTTTCTTTACCATGCACGTCCTAAAAAGTTGTCATGTTTTTCGTTTTCACTTTGCGTAAAGTAATGATTTAAATGTTATCGGATGAAAAATTAAACAAAAGAAAAATCAAAAGTTTCTTAACAGAACATGCTTAGGGACGGACGGGTAATAGTTTGTTGATACAGAGAAAAAAAGACAAATTTTATCCACACATCACTATACTATAAAAGAAGAAAAGAAAATGATCACAAAGTACTTTTTTCTTGGCAACTTCGTGAACAGAAACAAGCAGGATACATAAGGGCAAACAATCTTCTTACTTCTACATAAAAGCAAAAGAACTGGTATTATATTAGGATGGCCGGGGAACAAATCCAATTGGAAGTTTATACGTGACTATAATTATAAGCAAAGTTTGGAATTCACAAAAATTGCTGGGCAAATACTAAGACTGCCATTTCAAAAAGTTACAACAAATAACTACAACTAAATTTAGATGACATTCGACATATGAAGGCATATGAAAAATCAAGAACTCCATCATTTCTTATGTGCGATACCGAAAATTGGAAATAGTATGAGAACCTGCAATTGGTGTAATGAAGATTTAACACACCTTTTGACGAACGGGGGTGGAAGTTTACAACGTCACCTGACTTCATTTCTACTGCAGACTCGATTAAGCACAAACACAAAAATTCAAAATAAAAATTGATTTGAAAAATAGATAACTTTGTACGGCACAACCCATAAGAAAATAGATATGAATTAAGAAATGGATTTTGAGGCTTTACTCGATGACCTAATTGAGAACTAAAAATATATTGCAAGCTCTTCTTCACGTCGCACGTAGCTTGCTGTGAAGTAGAGCTTTTAGCATGGGTAATGTGAACAAAGGAATCATGCACACTCCGTTGTTGATATAAAATTCACTGAATCTAACTAACTAATGTCGTCAATGTACCATACTAATTAGTAAGTAAGTCAATAAACTACCATTTGAGAATAAATGATTCAACTGTTGTCATCCAACATTTTGAAAACCTCTCAATGGAAGATAAATTTTCCAGAGCTTGAAGTGATTTTTCAAAGTCAAATCCTTCTTCGTAAATCTGCAAAGAAACAAAGAGAATGAAAAGAGTGAATCGGCACATTTCTACAAATTAAGGTCAATTGCAAGATTCGTGCAATCAGAAAATGAAATATCCAATAATATAAGAAAATAACAAAAAGGTTGTAACGCAATAATGGAAGTAACTAATATCCAGCCATTCCCAATCAATCAAGAACTAAACTAAACCACCCAAACAATGAAAGAATCAAATTGAAAAATATTTCATACATGAATAGGACGGAAGAGAGGTGTGAGGTTAAGAATCCTTTGAAATTTTGTAGAAGTACCTTTTTAGACTGTCGTTACAACTTCGTCCGCGTCGTGGTCAGGACTCAGCGGCTGCACCTCTGTAAAACTGAAATAAAAAAAAACTACAATAGATGTCCACGGCCATGCCATGTGCTATTAACATGTTATGAATATGAGAGATTCACATCAGAATTACCAGTGGAATAATTACCAAACGGCTATGAACAATGAGCCGGTGTAAATACAACTCTTATATAGGCTAAATGAATAATGAGATTGCTGTAAAATCCAAATAAAAGGAGTTTATGAAGTGACCAATTAGGACGATTTAGGAGAGAGGACTCGGTTGTTGCCTGTGAATTGATATGATAAAAAAGACAGAGACAATAGAAACGAAAATACCACTCAAACACCCAATGGCATTGAGGTCCTTTGTAAATGGGTTGAAAAGCCTCATCACCTCTTTATGCTACAATTCAAAAAAGCATGATCAGATCTCGGAATTGAGTGTCAATAGAAGAATCCAGAGGACTAAAAAATTTCCCAAAAAAAAAAAAAAGGAAACAAAAATAATATTTGAATACGTGTGAGATGATTGACGAACTAATGGAGGAAGAAAATGAATAGAGTTTTACATTGGCCAAAGGTTAAGAGGAGGAGCGGAGTTTGATGCAAACTGGCACGGGCAGTTGTGAAAGAGTGGGAACGTGTTGTATCGGTAGTGAAAGAGTGAGAACTGTTATCAAACTACCCTTTGGGATGATGAGTTTGGTTTTTTTACTAGTTTGTCCTCATTTTGTTTTTTTTGGATTTCAATTGTGATGAAAATAAAGGGGCTTTCTTGGCATTTCTGAATGCATCACCAAACTGGTCTTCTCTCTTTATATATATAGATAAGCATTCGAAATTTCAAGGAGTCATTTAGTCCACAGGCCTTTTTAATGCTTTTTTTCTCTGTTCACGCACTACAGTACAACAACTGAACAACATATTCTCTTCCATCCAAAAAAAAAAAACAACATATTCTCTCTTATATTTCATTTTCAAATAGATGGAATGCAGGATTTGAAGTGTGCTTTCTCCACACCATACAAAAACAATCTCAGTATAATATATTAATACTCCATACCATATCACACAAAAAGATTAATGTGGAGTCAAAAGTAATTGAAAATTTTTTAGAGCCGTGAATTTCTTCCCAAAAGAGACAAGAATGTCCCCATTAAATGGGCATGACTCACAATGATTCTCACGCGCAGTCCAACATCGCTGGAGGCTAGAGCAGCTGCTGATGACATCATTAAGGGCTGGTTTGGTATTGTTGTGCTTTGAAAAAAAACTACTTTTGCTGTGCTGTGAGAATAAGCGGCTGTGAAATAAAGCAGCAGAGTGTTTGGTAAACTTTTTTGTAAAAGTGCTTTTGGAAAAAAAAAGCAGTATGATAGTGTTTGGTAAACTTTTATGTAAAACAGCTGTGATTGTGTGAAATGACCAAAAAGGGTATAATACTAGATGTGCTATTAATTTAATTTTCTTAACAAATATAGGTTAATTTTCTTTACAATTTTTAATCCACTATTTCCATTTTTTTTAATTTCGTTCCAGCATTATCTAGTCATTATTCTTACGATATTTTAATCCACTTTTGCCATTTTTTATTCCATTCCATTATCCTCTGGTCTTCTTCTTTAATGATACAACTGCAAGCACTCCATCCAAATCCTCTCTCTCTAAAAAGTTCAAATCACCTTCTTTTTTGTTGTGAAAAAACCCAGATCAAAATTCTTCATTTTCGCCGCCACCGGGGTGCCCCGGTCTCGATCGACCGAAATCGGCACAATGCAGCACATCGGGTTCATCTTCAACCATAATCATACCATCCACTTAGACAAAAAGCGAATTCGATCGTTGAAATCCGAATCCCTTCCAGCACCAATCAAACGACTCCGATTTATACAAATGCAGGACCCGATTCGATGCCAAAACGAACCTTATAGACTTGGAGCTTCTGGTTCTAGAGAGAGAAAGAAGAGAGAGACAGAGACTCATGAAGAGCTCTGCGCAGCAAGAAGGAGAAATGGAGGAAGGTATTTATGAGATTGTGAAAGTTTCATTAAATTCTACTGTTCACCCGTCTCTTAAAAAAAAAGCTGGTTTTGAGAAGCTGCATTTTACTGCTTCAGCATTTTGCCACTTTTCAGCTTAAAATGATAGTGACTTTGAAAATAAGCTGAGTTACCAAACACAAATTTTACTCCAGCTTTTTTTCATTCTAGTTTTTTTTTTAAATCATCTCAACCCCAAACCATACCTAAGATCCCTTGCTCATGGCAAGGAGGAAAAAGTCAAATGCATTAACTATAGGATTAATTACTAAATCATATATTTAATACTCTTCTCATTGAAGATCAACCCAAACAAGTAAGGATGCCCAATCATATCCAATAAGGCATATTTCTAAGATAATCCCAAGATATTATTTAACTATTAATATCGTTGGAATTTTTATTTCCTCATCCATCCAATGGATGCCAACCTAAGCCAATCGGATGACCAATTTGGTCAATCAAATTTGCAAAGACAAAGATAAACAAAAGATCATGAAGCCGAGCACCAGGAAGGGTGTTACCCAGCGTAGAGATATGATTGAGAAATTTTGTTCATACCTCTATGCTAACCACAAGGGATATGATTGAGACTGCATTTTTTTCCTCACATGTGGATGACATCATCAGAGATGGTGGTGATTACAAGGATCATGAGCACATAAAGGCGGCTCATAAGGCACTAAAGGATTTTTACATTGAAATTTGCCTTCTTAAATATTTACGGCACGGTATCTTGTACCTTTACTGCACTTTTTTAGTATATTGTAATTTCAAGCTTCGATATAAGTTATAAAGTATTATTTTCATAGACGGGTCATAAGGTGTCGCAAATATTTGTATACATTCATCACAAGTCACAATTATTGTATCACAATTTCTATCAGTGTCAACAACGCTAGGTGCGGTCTCTGTGTGTTTTTTTGGCATCGGTCGGGCAAGACCTGGACAATTAGAAAACAATCCAAAATTGTTCTACTAATTTCAACCCCTAATATATTGTGAGGTAAAGCCTAAGCGATAATTAATTTCATTGCCTACCTTGTGTTTGGTTATGGACAATTCTTCTTGCCACCAGTGTGTCTTCAATATTGACTTCACTTCTCTTTTGTACTTGTTTTTGACGCCCCTTTTCTTTTAATTTGAATTGGATCTTTAAGCAACTTGGTTTGAGAACTCCTACCTCTCTCTTCACTCTCTTTTCTTTTTCGACCAAGATTACCACCAACCAAAGAGTTCAGTTTCGTATCCAAGAACTTCAAAGTCCGGGACAGAAGTTGGGTAGCTTCCTCTGACATCACCACTTTGTCAATCAGATATGAAGTTTTTCTTGAAAACTGAGCTCTGTTAGACACAGTAGAATTGTCGGCACATTTACTTTCACTATAAAAAACAACACTGGATTTGGCGATTTGAAGCCACCTTTTCAATATGTAATGTTAAGGAAGCAACTCTATTTGTTTCTTTCTTAAATAGGCCAATATATGCTGACAAGGAACTCCCCGAAACTTCATCTCTTTGCATATGCATTTAGCATAATCTGAGATCGTATCAACCACCAACCTCTTCATTTTTGTCACCTCCACAACCCTTTCAAGTACTTCATACACTGCCTCATTCCCATTCCCTGACTTCTCCCTTAAGAAACAAGCCACACTATTCAATTCCTCCACTTTAAACAGTTCGAACATATAATGGGTGTACAATTTGCCCATCTTAAGCTTCCATTGCAGTGCGAAGCTACAATGGAAGGGCATGATTTTCATCATTATGGTTAATAACCACCTATTTCTAACGTTGTTGTCTAGGGGCTCGATTAAACCGAATGATGAATTCAATCAAAGAGTGCTTCCTATGCACATATTGCTTGAAGAGGATTGAAAACTCTCTGCACATTGACTGCTTGACATTCCAGCTATAAAAGCATGCTTACAAAATCCCAGAACCCAATTTGCACATAATTCATAAATGTGCTCACACCACACTTTATTAACCAACTCATGTTCTTCTACCAACCCTTTCCACCTTACCTCAAATTCTTATTTGCTTTCAAAATCCCATATGCAATCATGCAAATCTTTTCAAATGCCTTCAACCCAACTGTTGTCATTGAATTTATTAATCATATGCCATCTTGATACATAATTATGACTTTGGGCGGCTTACCCGACAGTGCTTTAAGGAATCCTTCAAATAACCACTCAAAATCCTCGATTTTTTCATTTATTAAGAATGCACAACCCAATACCGTGGTTTGACCATGATTTTTAATTCCTAACAAAGGAGGAAACATCATCTCGTACACATTGGTGTTGAAAGTGGTGTTAAACACAATCACATCACAAAATGGCCATAACAACGTCGTGACTTAGCATCCCCCCAATAGAAATTGTCAAGTGTTCCGCCTTTGTCAATCTCCATCTTGAAATAGAATGAATCGTTTTTCTCTTTTTCATCCTCAAAATGCTCTTTGATCATTTTCGCATCAAGCATGATTAGATGAACTCACACTAGCCGCTTGACATTATACATGTCCTTTTGGGTGCAACCAATATTTCTAATTCCTCCATTGTGCACTTCCAATAAGTTCTCTTGTTTTTACTTATGCAAATATTTGTCTGTGCACATTGTCCTTCTTTGAAAATTGTTACAACAAACTTTTCACAACAAATTCTCTTACGAAGTGCATAATTGTTGTAAAAAGTATAACCATCATCCCAACGAACTAAACTCCATTTTTAAACTGGGTTTCAACTCATCTTCTGTCGTTGGTACAGTAAATTCAACTTTCCGTGCACCAAATTGATCTCCTGCATCTACATCCTCTCTTTCCACCATAATTTCTTCTATTTCTAACTCATCTTCCATCGAATTACGATTCAATGTATATCTACTACAAATCTACATAACTACAACACAACTTATCAGAACCCAACACAAGTTTTACACCTATATATATTATAATATTCAATTTCACGATTTCAACCAAATCCAATGGTAACCACCCGCCACTATGGATTCAAATCCCCAAATTATAAAAACCAAAATGGAATGGAAATAGATTATAATAGAGGTTATGAATTTCTTCAAAGACTAACTTTCACAATCTGGGTTTCTTCAGAGGTTTGGATGAACCACTCTTGTCAACTCCAATCCAAACGCATCTGTTGAACTATATATTTTTGTTGGAACTTGTGAACTTGTGAGGAACTTTTAGTCCCACATCGCCCATTCCTCTTTTGAAGCTCCTCTTTATAAGCGAGTTCCCTCACTTATGGTTTGAAAGAAATTGGGCCAAAGCCATGGACCTTAGGCCTTAGACTTAGAGGGTTTGTTAGTTATATTAAATGTCAAAGA